GTACGGGTCCGTTCGCTTTGGCGAACGTTTACTCCGAACATGCGATAGTTTAAGAGTTTACGTGCTGGCCAGAGTCATTGTTATGCATGTAGAACTTCTTCCGCACCGTACGTAGCCATTCGTGCTAATTGGGGGTGCTAATCGAATGTGGTAGATGCATGACGATTGCCATGATTATCATGATGAAACTATGCACAATTTGTCATCATCGCTATCATCATCATCATACACACTCTATCATCATCCATAGTCCTTTCAATCAATATATATCATCATCCATCTATGCATCCACATACTCATTTAGCTGCCCTTAGCCATAAATACATCTGCCCACATCATTATTCATCTTTACACAATCCATCATCCTTATCATCTATCCATCATCAATACACAAGCCATCTGTACACAATACAGCATCATCCACGTCTCCATCCATCCAAGAGAACCATCATCTCACTGGTCGGTAATATGCAAAACTGTGCTTGGTTCAGGGCGATCAGCAGTGGGTCTACCGACTCTACCATCGAAATGTGGAATTTCCACCGATGACTCAGAACCACCGAATGAAGATTGTCGTCGATCAATGCTCATCGCTCATTCCCCTCTGCTGCTCCCATCGTCTGAGGCTCGCCCTTCCCCGAGTCGTCCGCGGTGTCCACTCCCTGCGCCTGTTCGCACCTCCGATTAGCACGGTTGGCTACGTATGGTGCGACAGAAGTTCAACAAAAACACTGCCAATAGCCTAACACTGCCCACAGACTCAACACTGCACCTCCGATTAGCACGATTGTCTACGTACGGTGCGAAAGAAGTTCAACAAACACACTGCCAATAGCCTAACACTGCCCACAGACTCAACACTGCACCTCCGATTAGCACGGTTGGCTACGTACGGTGCGAAAGAAGTTCAACATACGTACGTTCAACCCCTGATTTAAGACCTGGATATGACTAACTGACTCTCTCTCTATAAAACAAATATTCACACTCTTTCAGTACTGGGTCTTGAGATGCGGCCGCCTTATTTTTAAATGCTGTGCAAATGCACATTATATTGTAACATCGTAACACTCGGCGGGAGAAGGTAGATATAGCCTGTTGTGCTTTCCCTATTTTCACAATACCCTTTTGTGCAAATCTATAGCCTACGTCCACCGCACCCCTCTCATTATCAGCACCGCGTGTGTTATCGTGCAGAGCTTTGACAAAGACACCCAGTGTCAAATGAATAAACAGCTCTTTGTGTACGAACCAGTTGACTGCCTTATGAGCTGCGTCGCGTGTGTCAGCAGTGGGCAAAGGGCTGCCTCCCTGGTGAAACGGTCAGCAGACTGGACATGGGGTCGCCGATTCGATTCGATCGAACCGGGTACGAGAGCTGCAACAAATGAGCGCGTTTTTTTTACACGCTTTTATTTAACTCACTCTGTCTGTTGTTGTTGTCGTTGTTGTTGTATCCTCAAATCTTGTAACTCAATTTTAACCCACTTCCCAATGTGGTATCGACTGCAAACGTTCTATACTTATGTCATACTATGACAATACTATATTATATCATAAAAATATATATTTTTTTAAACATTATTTTTAATGTTATGTTTCGGCTTGGGTCTAATTGTCCACGGTCAACTGACGTTGGCTGTAAGTGACCATTGTCCCTTACGTTATGGCAAGCTTCTGGGCCACTTCCAAAATAGTGAATAATATTGGTCGCGAAGGCCTACGCGTTAAACCAGAAATTTCACATTTTACACTGTGACGTCGAAGCGCCCCCCCCCCCAAAAAAAAAACACGAGGCCCGGGTCGGTCGCCTCGATTCGTCGTGCTCTCGGGACTGGGGGCACGGAATCGTCAGCTCGGCCGGATTGATTCTCGCCCCTCCCTCCCTCGTGCTGGGAAAATCGACGTTTGGCTCCTAGTTTGATGACGTACGTACGTTGAACTTCCTTTGCACCGTACGTAGCCAGCCGTGTTAATCGAAGGTGCGTGGGTGGGGTGGGGTACTGCTTTTAAAGGACAGAATCGTGAGATGAGCGGTAATCTCAGCCAGCTATTCCGGCTTTACGCACCTGGGCGCTATTGTATTAAAACTCTCGTTTGTGCCTTGATGCTTAATAATAATAATGGATAAGTCAAACTCAGCTTCCAGCTTCAAGACAACCGCGGATGAAAGTATACATGCTGGCTTTCATCAGCACTACCCTCCCCCTACCCTCCACTGTCTCGTAATCCCTGCACCTCAGACCCCCCCGTCCGACGAAGATGTAAAACTCCCTGCCGCCAAAATAACAGGGGCTCATCTTGAAGGCAGAGGCTCACGTCCCTTCCAGCCGCTCATTCCATCCCTACCCCCAACAAACTCAACATTACTTCCCTGAATGCGAACGGCCTCAATCACCCGGTCAAGAGACAGAGGGAGGAGGGACTGACTCTCTACAGGTTATTTCAGGTGACCCATCTCTCCCATCTGAAACGTGGGCGGCATTGGGGTTTTCCACTCCACGCACAAAGCCTCCAATGGTGGAGGGGTGGCAATTCTAGTGCACATGAATGTCAGGTTCATGCGCCTCTCCCAACGCTCAGATCTCATGGGCCGATACATCCCGAATGTTCACAAACCCCACGATCAGGTCAACTCCCACTTGCTGACAACACATCACTAAACTCTTGCAACAGAATTACGGCATCGCAGGCGGCGACTGGAATGTTGCAGAAAAAAGTACGGCTGGGTAAATCCCACCACAGCAAGACGGGCACCCTGAACTCCAAAAGAGACCTCACATGGAATTAAAATCCCAGCTTTCATCAACTGCAGCCTCAACTGCTGTACGTTATTGTCAGCACACAGCACTCGGAGGCAAGCAATACTTTCTTTAGTCACTAAAACATTTACTTTTCCACCGAAGGGATAGGGCGACTAGTTAGCACTGTTTATTTTGCTGTCTTCCAGCAAATGAAATATATAATTGTCCTATCCACATATGTCCATCATTTTTGGGAATGGCATTTCCCCTAACTCTTAAAGAGGACTCCGTTGACCGTTAATAAAGACATTCAATACTCTTAGCTAAAGCCTCTTTTACAGCTGTATAAACCCAAGTGACCCACTTGCAACATTTCAATATTAAACCAATGGCTCTTAAGGAGATATATGCCGCTAAGTAAAATTTTGCATATTCAATCAGTAAAAAAACCTTGAATTAGCCTCGACGTTTGGGCATGAAGTCAACACATAAGGCTGCGAATCTTATGTAAAAGGTACGTGCTAATATTTGTTTAAAAATATTAACGATAATTTATAACTTTGAAAGTACCTCTTTAAGAGCCAGTTTAAATAGTGTGCCACATTTGCCAATACAGTACATGAAATAGTTTTTCACCATATGGCGCTTACTTTTAAGGATGCTTCCTGCTCATAGTTGAATGTTCAATCAATGAAGTAAACAGGATGATAGATTATACCAGATTCTTTCTGAGTAAACCCCTTACACTCCATTGCAACAGTTTAAATGCTCTTATGAATTATTTTCTTATTGCATTCAATGAATTAGGTATAGAATCAATTATGTTTGTTGAACTGAATCCTCCTTAAGGCCTCGCCCTTCGTCACAATTAGCTACAATCAATCCACTGCCGAACGCAGGCCAATGTAAAAAAAAAACTCCTTAATAACCACTTCTGGCATAGAGCCCCTTTTGCAAGTATTGTGACCATATGGTGCTAACTCTTAAGGATGCTTTTCCCGTTTCATATTAAATCACTAAAGTGTACAACTTGATTAGAAATGATGAGCTTCTTTGGGATCCAGCCCAAGCTTTGTACCCCGTTGCCAATATTTAAAAACTCTTGAGGCTGTGTTTAGCATTAAATGACATGTATTTAATATAACAAATACATATACATAAGTTGAGACATTCCCAGGGTACAGCATCCCCCCACCCCATCCCCTGTATATTAAAACAAACATTGGGTGCGTCTTATAATCCGGTAGGTGTGTGAATGGAAGCGACGACCTCTGGGTTGTGCGTCCAGTGGTGGTGTGAACATCAACAACACCGCACCCCGTTTAGTTTCTCAGTTAAAAAGGAGAGAAGCGTTACGTTATTTTTACAAATGCAAAAATAGGACGTCTGTCAAAGAAAGAGCTTCACAGCTCATCGGATTCCTCCAGTCTAAAATAAAGATTCTGGTCAAAAGATTTCTTAATTTATGAACCAGCTCCATTGCCAATTTTTAAATATCGATTTAAAGCTTTCGTGACTGCAGGGATTCATATAAAATAATACAAATAAAAACATTTTATTATGTTTATTTATTATTATTTTATTATTTCCCTTCTACGTGACTTTACCGAAAGAACCAAAAAGATGAATATTTAAATACTCTTAAGGATGCTTTGTGTTGCTGCTTCAAATGGTATCACTTCAACGTGAATCTGGCTGCCGCCTGATGAAGCTAGTTGTAATTACTGGCGAAATGTTGGACTCAGATTGTAAATGTTTGTGGCTTTGTTCTCCAACACACCGGTGTGCTGTACTAGTGAGGAATTGGCCACGTTCTGTTTACGTGTCAAACCTTACTCATTGGCTGTGTCAGGTGTTGGCGGGTTTAACGACACTTTAATATATTTACGTGATGTAACCCAAAAAAACCCTGTATTATGGACATTTATATATTTAAGCGATATATCCCAGAAAACCCTGTATTATGGATATGTTTTTGTTTACGTGATCTAACCCAAAACACCTGTATTATGGATATTTATATATTTTTGCAATCTAACCCCAAAAAACCCCTGTATTATGGACATTTATGTATTTAAGCAATCTAACCCAAAAATCCTGTATTATGGACATTCATATATTTACGCGATGTAAATATATGATTAATTAAGTGGTGTTTTTTCTCCTCGATCATCCTTAAGAGCAACCAGCCCCTCCCACCCGCCGCCCCCACGTACTTAAGGCAACTGGGGAAGGCCAAACGCCTCCCCCCCTCGCTCCGAAAATAACTGTGCTCTGCCTATCGCACAACGCTGCTGCCTGCTGCAACCTCCAGCAGCAAGCAACCTCCAGCAGCAAGCAAGCAAGCAACGCCGTCGACAAGACACAAAACACCGCTTCACCCTAAAAGATTTAAAAAACACACGCGCGCGCGGACAGGTAAGATGAGAGAGACAGAGAGATTCGGTCGGTGTTTTTTTTTGTTAAATAATTTTCGCTTCGTTCGGCTGCGGTCGTTGGGGTGTTTGTTGTTGTTGTTGTGGTAAGAATTTTAGAAAGAAGCTGCCGCTGCACAGAAACGCGAGATTTGACAATAGGTGGCGGCGAGGGCCTAGCGCGGGATCCCGTAGGTGCAGTGCGAAGCGGTGTAGACTAGTAAGGGCGGCCGGGGTTCGGTGGGGGTTTCCCCGCAGAGAGGGATCAGGCCGCACGCCCCCGTCCCCCGAAGTGGTTTTTTTTTCTCTGTAACAAAACATACGTTATTTGCGTTGAGCTACACGCGTACGTGTTTTGTAAACGGCGCTTATGGATGTTGTGTAAGCTTGTCGGTCTGTAAACCCTTCGAGTTATAATCACGTGAAGTTATAATAAGCGACAGTTGTCTGCCCGTGATTCGGGGTGGGTTTTTGTTTAGGTGAATGCGCGGTTGTCGATTTGCGTTTATTGATTTGCGAACGCCATCGAGTGTCAAAAATGAACACTTACATTGTTGTCACCCTTGTTGTGTACGTGTCCTTTTATATTCGCGATATTGTTGATGTAAACGCCGTTGTTGCTTATATTTATTTATCCACGGCGCCGCTATCAATGTGTGTGCCCTGTTGTGTTGTGCCGTCTGTAACACGTTTCACGAGTAATTGGACGCTGCCGGGCCTGGCTGTGATTAGGGTGGTTTTTGTTGTTTGCTGGATGTGGTCGTGAGTGTATTTGTTTGTTGTTGTAAAGGGGCCGTTCTTAAAACGAGAACTGCCGCGACCCAAGCGAAAGGTGATTGAAGTCGATTGTGACCGAAATTCAGTTTTCTGAGGTGTTTAGGCAAAAGCATGCGTTGCTTATCAATGTGCTTGCTGGATGCTGACTTTGCCGGCTTCCGATCGGATTTAGGAAGCGAATTACTTTGTCTACTGATTACCCAAAGGGATTGTATCCAAGTGTGTAAGTGTGTTAAGCGTGAGACGTGAAACATTTCCTAACGGGGAATGAGACCTCTCTCAACCAGTCATCCTCCGGAAGAACTGAATTGTTTGTAGCACACATGAGACAACACTGTAATTGGTTCTTAGAAACGTTCTATTCCTTACCAAATACTCGACTATATTTGTGGCAAGTTTCCGCTTCCTCGCACTTTGTAAAATACGACTATGTGTGCAATTTACCATGTGATAATCTGATTGCAACCACATCTGTGTGTGTGTGTTGTTATTGCCTTGTTATTTTGCTCATGTCCAATATCCACACTTGAATATACCATTACCGCTTTCTGGAATGCGTTGCTGTTTAATATGATTTGTTTTTACTACTGCCCTTGACCATATCACCTGGAATGCGGCTAGTCTGAATCAGAACTCAGAAGCTGAAGCAGAGTTGAGCCGGGATGGTGATGATTGAGAAGCAGCAACCACAATTCATAGAGCAGGCCCCTGCAATTTTCAGCAAAGAGTCCAGCAAAATGCATTGCTGTATTGTACCTCCTATGCTCCCCAACTTCAACCCACACTGACCAGTGTAGTGAAGCATGGTCCAGTCACCCCATAGACCCTGTACCACATGGGAAGACATTCATCATTGGAGCTGTACACGTTATAAGTGAAGTGTTTCACAATGACACTTCACATGCGCTTACAAACTTGGTGTTTTCGTGGGATATTCTCAGGGGAGTTCGTGAGATTTGCTTACATTTAGTTAAAAGGGGCCATTACAAAATGCGCTTCGTTATGTATTGTTATGTCTGAAACAATGCCGATGTTTGGGAATGGTAACCTTGAGTTCACATCCTTAGAATTGTTTTTATTTTATTTTACTGTTTCAGAGTTGGGCGTGATTATGCCACCGTACTTTTCGTACTGCATTGCACAAGTGATTAAACTATTTTTAACGGGTAAACGCAGACGTATGGTGAAAATAGTCAATAGTACGTTTATGATTAGTGCTTAATAGTGCCTATGACTAAATCTCCCAGAATACCTCCGATTTCGTCAGATCTAGCTCAGCATGTTTGGGTCAGGATGGGCGACCACCTTGCATCACGAGCGTTATACACTGCGGGTCTATGTTATGGGCAGCACAGCATAATTCATTGTTGTCCTCTACTTCTATGCTCTCACATTCTATTCTCCTCACTCTCATCAATCTACAGGCGTGGAGAGGCCCCTCATCTGCCAGTGGTTTGACATATGGCAGCACGTGTACACACTGTTGCTCTGCATTGTAATACTATCAATAATAATCATAAGAGCCACACCCATGCCGTGTCACACTTGATGTAATGTTCATTGTTATGTTTTTCCTTCTCGCAGAGGACAAAAACATGGGCACTCCGCAGAAGTTTGTGTCAAATATAGAAGAAGCAATGCTGTTGGAAATATTGAAGAAGAAGTTGGCATTTCTGTCGGGTAATTTCTGGCGCCTTCTTGTTGTTGTGTATTCTGTTGTGGTTTTGTTACAAACACGTTAAAGAGGAAAGCGGCCATACATCCCAATGCAGGACCCTCTTTAAAAATGTATTGAGACTCGACGAGGTCTCTATTATACAGAATTTCAGCAGCTTTTGTTTTATTTAATGTATGTGGATATATGTTATATATGCAATGAAACGTATTAAAGCATTTAATTAATATGGGAGTTAAGCAGCATATAATAAATAGACTAAAGTTAAAACGATGATACGTGGGAAACATTTTGATATTTGATTTGGATTTCTCCTAGGATGAATAAAGATTCTGATTCTGGCTATAAAATACAATATGAATGTATGAAGTGTTGAAATGCATTCGTATTCTGTCATTCATGTGTATTTACCAGTTCTATTTTACTTGAATGATCGTTTAAACCTACATTCTTCCAACTAACCACCCACTAAGCTACTGCTTTCGTGCCATTTAAGAGCTTGTAGCTCCTGAGTGGGTGCATTGGGTTTGTTTGGTTAATTGTTGGTATTTGTGGGACACTTTTGAGGGCAGCATGTCCAAAGCAATGTATTGTTTACAGTCTCCGGTTCATCCCAGTTCATCCCAATTTCTCCGCATGTTTGTGCTTGTCATATATTTTTTACCCTGCTTTGACGTGACACAAATCGTGTTTCTTTACTGATCGGTCACCGGGGGAGTCCCATGACCTTCAGATTGCTGAGTTTGACCCTGCTTCTCAATGGATGAGCCGGGTGGAAAGAAAAAAAAAACACTGCCTCAGCTTTTTTTACGGGACGAATGTTCAAATGCAAAGATGTGCTTGTGCTTCGAAATACATTAATACTTCACCAGAACTGGAATGAACTGGCAATGTAGCCAGGATAAACGCCCCAATAAGTTGAAACAGAGCTGCGGGCCTAAGCAAGGAATGTCATTGTTACTATTAAGCTTTCAGCCAGTGACGAGATGGATTCTAGAAATGGGCAGATTGTGGAATCGGATTAGGTGAATGTGATTTGGGGTGGATGGTGCAGGGGGGGGGGGGCACTGTGTGTTCATTGCCAAGCAGCTGGGAGTGGGGGTTAGCCAGAGGGAGAATTAGGCTGAAGCCAGAATACTTGAGTTTCATCCAAACAACCTGACCCCTGACCCCTCTGGCTTCTCAGCATTTGAGAATTCCATAACGCGTCTATTATTTCACTGTTTGAACGCCACAACTTTAGAATGCAATTTTGAGTTGCGGTTGAGACTGTGGCTCATGAAACCCACATCTGTTTTCACAACAATGTTCAAATGCTATAGCCCCGCTAGAAAGCATTATATATGCAGGAAATGGTAAACGTATCAATATTGCATTGTTGAAACACTCTTTTGCATCGTAAAGAAAAGGGCTACTGTGAATTTGTTCATAGGTCATGAAATGGAAACGAAACAACAAAACACAAAAACAGCTCTTGTAGATGCACACCTAGGCTGTGTATTCTGGTATACCAACCCACACTCACCAGCATGGTGAAGTATGGTTAAATAACTTCCACAACCTGCATAGTGTGGGAGGGGGGGGGGTCTCTCGTCTCGCAGTGGATTGACAAACGCCATACGTGTGTATTTTTCAACAGTTAAGTGTACAATGTAGATGTGTTTTGTACATTAATTTGCACTGGAGAGAAAAAAAAACACCCCAAATTCTCACCAAAGAAGGCTTTCACAAAGTTCACACGGTTTTTGTTGCCGTAATCATGACTTGTTCATGTATCATCAACCACAAAACTCAAGTCGGGCATATCGCGTGGCACAGTCTAGCCACTTAAATGCACTGTTGGCCGAAACAAAAATAAAACCATTAAAACAAACTTTGGTGGAGGGGGGGTGGGAGTTTGGTGGGGGGGGGGGAAATCCAAACAAACTTTATCGGTGACATGAGTAATAACTCAATGAACACCAGGAACTTAAATAGTGCTTCCCACCCCTAGAGTTGGTAACAACCCCCATACACTCACTCGTAGCTTGCCCACAGCATTACCCATTTGTCTTTGGATAATTTGAATTTGCAGTCGCTGACTCACACCTGTGTTTACACATTGAGTGGCCCCTTTCAAACAAGGTGTCTATTGTAAGAGGTGGAACCAATTATGGTCCTAACGTATGCAGTCGCCCTGCACTTTTGTGCACTGTGATTGCATATATGCGGCCCTTTTGTCAATCCACTTCGAGATGACGGGCCTCTCCACGGGATGAGGGTCTTTTTATCCATACTTCACCACGATGGTCAGTGCTGGGTTGGTGTAGACTTGCAGAACGTGAATGGATTTGGCTGCCCCGTGCTCTGCTGCGCTACATACACACAGTGCTGCACCATATAACGTGCTGCTGTGCATGGTGAGACACCCTTCCAAGCACTATCCTGGCTTTGCGATGCCTCCCATCCAAGATATGATGAGGTCGGGCACATTCTGGGTGATTTGGTCAGAGGTGTTACAGTACTACGCAGCGAGTCCATTTACTGCTAATTTAGTGTGGAGTACCGCTCATCTCTATTGGAGGCCCTGAGTCAGAGTTGAAAATTCCACATTCCTATAATGGGAAAAGGCTTTTCCAAAGGATAACCAGTGAACATTTTTACGATAAATATTGTATATCAGTTCGATGCAATAATTTTATCCAAAAAATCTTAAAACAGCTAGACCACCTCTGGCGTGGATTATAAATGATCCCTTTTGATGAATATATCATTTACATTTCATTTTACATGAATTCTTTAGGCAAAATGGGGTGCACATCTCAAGATGCTCTCCAGAAAATTGAAAGTGCGTATATTTATTTTATAGTGGCAGCCATGCGTGGGCAGAGACTCTTGAGCCTGGACTTGGACAGGGGGAAAGGATAAGAGGGAAGAGGTAGGAGAGCAAGGGGGGGTAGAGTCTGATGCGAGGGGAAGAGGAAGAAGTAGTGCATGGAGGGGAGTAGAGCAATATGAGAGAGAAGCGTGCACGGAGGGGAGTCAGAATTATATTTAATTAATTATCATCTTTATTTAGACCGGAGGAATCCAATGAGCTATGAGGCTCTTTTCACACATGTCTAGGGTGAGATTTAGATGAGAGAGTTAGTGGAGTGGCTGGAGAAGAGTAGAGTGAGATGAGAGGTTGGACGGATGGGTTAGGTTGAGTCTGTGGAACTTCTGAAAAATGGTGAGTGTGATCTTCAAAGTGGTCTGCGCTTGGGTTGGGAGATAGTGGAAGCATTTGAGGTAAATGTGCGATGCGCTGTCATTTACCGGTGCAGGTGAGAAGTCCAGCAGCAGCAGTATAAATTTAGGACTCGTAACAGAATTACACGGAAGTCCTTCTCTGTCTCACACCGTCGCCATCTCTGTCCCCTGCAGGGGGCAAAGATCGCCGCTCCGGCCTCATCCTGACGATTCCTCTCAACTCGGATCAGAACAACATCGACGAGATCAACGTGACGCTTAACTACCTCCTCAGTATTCCCAGGCAAGTCGGCCCTGTCCCCCCCCCCCCCCAAAAAACCCAGGAGCAACATTCAGCAGCCCAGGCGCCACCGTGAAGCTCGGATATCAAACCCTCCAGTTGGCCGTTTGCCCGCGAGCAACTTTGTTTGCACTCTAGCGCTACAGTTCCTGAAAAAACAATTGGGGGAGAAAAAAAAAATTCTCTCGTGGGATGGCATTTCACACCGCCCCAAAGCCGAGTGTGTTGATATTAATGCACTGAGCATATGTGTGGTGTAAAAGCTGCGGAGACGGAGTGTCTGCCGCTTGTTTTGAAGGACGTTTTGCCCAGAGGTGTGTTTACCCGCACTTTACACCACCATGAGCCCCGTTCGCCAGTTGAGCAAAAGCGTGTGTCGGCGTAACCTGCAATGTATGTAGCAGGACATTATTACGGATAGTAATGTGAATTAAATCAAACTTAACGTGTCGTCGCTCATCATTCGTTGATTATGATGATGTTCTGTTATGATAAACGAGTGTACATAATTACCCTCTGTGTCATCCTTCTTGGCCGGTTTGACAGCTCTTGAGGTTTTCATTTGGACAGGTGAAAGGTTATGGTCTCCGAGTCATTTGTTTGCGTTTGCCCTTAAGCTACAATGACCTCCGACCTCATCACCTGCCCGTACAACTTTTTTCAGAAACGTTTTCTCACACCAGGGCTTTTGGCAAGGTGGCCAGGACGTGACAGTACAGCAAGTAGAGTGAATTAATCCGCGCAGAGCATTGAGTGATGCCCCTGTGTGTTTGTGCGTTTTCGATGGTGTGATCCAATTTCATCCCAACGTGCCAAACATCCTTAGGCAGGACCGCCACAAGCAGGTCCTAAAACTCGACGAGACTTTGTCATGTGAACCAAGTGCTTCATTAATATTACATTGCACATTGTATGAAAACTCCTAACAGCACAAAGCCAACCGCAGCCCTAATGTGACGTTGCGTGTGCTCTGCATTATGCTAAAGTCGCTTGGCAGCGGCACCGGCAATTTTAATTGCCATTGAAGACATCATAACCGTTCCATGTGACGATAAGTCACGCGACGCCCGTTGCCAAGTTGCTTCTTAAAACAAAAACATTCTCCCAAGAGCCACAACTCTACGTGGTTATCACGTCACTAGTTGACACCATTCATTTACCAGACTGTTGCTTAAACTTGATTTGAAGCTTTCGTGACTGCAGGAATTACTCTTTGGTTCTTTCGGTAAAGTCACGTAGAAAGAAAATAAATTCAATAATAGAATACGAAGTTTCGATTGCAACACAAGCAATCGTCATCAGGTAGAACTACATTTGAGAGCGAGACAAAACACAGACACGGAGACACACAGAGACAGACACACAAGCAGAGAGAGACAACACAGACACAGTGTGACATCCTTTGTGCATTGGACATCAAAGGACACCGTTACATCATGAATTGAAAACTTGAAAATTTGAAGCGCATTCTTAATTGAAAACTCATTTCTTAAAAAGTGCTTTTTGTATTTAGTTTGTTGTCCTTCCCCCACACCTCCGATTAACACGGTTGGCTACGCACGGTGTGAAAGAAGTTCAACATACATACATGAATGCTGATAATAATTTGGAGGACTGTTCGGCATTGCAGTGAGAAGTGCAAGTCCCGTGGCTTCACCGTGATTGTCGATGGGCGGAAGGCTGCGTGGAATCTGGTGAAGACGGTGGTGCTGACGTTACAGGTGACTTCTTTTTTTACCTTTCCCATTCTCGCACCTCCTGTATCTCGTAGACCAGTGATTCTCAACCGGGGGCAGTGGGGGGGGGGTATGCGGACCCTTGGGGATGCAGTGTCCCAGGGGGTACGTGGGTTGATTTTCAAATGTGTGAAATTATATCATACATGAGAGTTATTGGTGAATAATCATGTACGAATCTGCATGGTAACGTAGAACGATCTAAAATTTCCTATTAAACCCACTGATCACGAACAATGTGCTTTTCAAAAGTAACCAGCGACCTTCGAACAACTGACATCACGCATGTAGAGCGTCCGTTGAATATTTTTTATTTTCTTTATTCGCTTGCAGTTGCTATCTAGTTAGGATACTTCACGAAAAGGGAAATTGGTTCAAATTTTGATGTTCATTGATTTCTTTATTTCTCAGAACCATGCATGTTTCAGGGTATTTGAAAGTATTGTAAGTGCGTATAATGAAACTGGTTCCCAGGAGCAATCCTGGGCTACATCGTAGCCTCGGAAACGACGGAGCACCTTTTCAAATGCAGCTCGCAGATACGTTTTGCAATCCAGTTCAGGACCTTGATCCCATCTTCTGGGCCTCGTCAACAACCGCTGCTTCTATGTTCATCAATCTCAATTTTTACAAGCCTCGATTTAGATACAACCACTCTTCGTTTTACAATCCTCAATTTACACACAAGCAGTTTGAATATCGAATATCACGAGCTTAATTTTTTTTATTTACAACCACTTCTACTTTCATTACAGCCACTGCATAGCCATTTCTCGATTCATCAGCCTCAATTTCTATATATGTGTAGTGATGCACTTCCGGAGACGGATCGTTATGGCACCTTCTTTATTCTCGCACGTCAGGGAACTACAAACGCCCTACGTGCTTACACACTAGTCACACATCCGTCTAATTCGACGGCGCTATCTCGCTAGTACAGTTGACAGGCTAAGGATGGTAAAGTTGACGGCGACGAAGGTGACGAACAGCGACACAGCGATTGGATCCACTTCCAGCAACAGTCGCGAGCTCTCGACCCGGGGGCCCACTTTTATCCTCCCGGTGTTGCCTCGCTCTGCCCTCGCCACGCCCCTTTTCTGGAACCTTCTAGCAGGTTCCCGGGATTCCAGATGGACTCCATCCTGAGCTTCGCTTTAGTTCTCCTCAGCCCCGTATGTCCTCCCTCTGCTGCCGTGTATACTGCCCTCTGCTGTCAGTACCACTTTTCCGTCAGCAGCCAGTGTTATTACACTACATATGTATGTATCATGTAGCTTATTTTGCACCATACGTAGCCAACCATGCTAATCGTGCTAAACACAACTATGGGCAATTCAAAAGGTTGGGTCTACAGCAGTGTTCCTTGATTAATTTTCAGAGGGGACGCCACTTTCGCCAATAACATATCGGTGTGAGGGCCGCCACACATTTGGGTTTGACAGCATGGTGGGGTGTTTTCACATTTGTGTATTGTCAGGGGCCGCACTAAAGGCCACCAGTGGCCCGCGGGCCTTGCAACGAAGAACACTGGTCTATACGCACGTATACAATTACGCATGGTTTTTATTTCTCGCGTTGCAGAACGTCATCCCGGCGGAAGTGTCCCTCGTGTGCGTCGTGAAGCCCGACGACTTCTGGGACAAGAAGTTCACGCACTTCTGCTTCTGGAAGGAGAAAAACAGGCTTGGCTTTGAGGCATGTTTCAGTAGGAATGTAGAAAAGAATTACAGTCCTTTGTCAATTGACCCTTTCTGAGACGTTTGCGAGTTGCAGGGCAGGTCCCGTTCACCGCTGAATCTTGGAATGCGTAAGCATTTAGCGTTAATTTTATTTAGAGAGGCGTTGCGCCGCTGTTTTAAAGACATTGTGCTCACCGCAGAGAACTGTAGCGATACGACCGCACTCTATGACAGCTGGCACCAAAGTGTGTCACACGCCCTTCCGCATGACCATTTTTCTTCAGATTCTGTTCCGATGCCGTACACCGATGTGGTACGTACGTTATCGGAACCGTCGTCATCGGAGCGGGAAATGGTTAATTAGCAGCTCGAAAATCACAATGTTGCGATTTCAAGTCCTGGAACGGATTCAACTTGGCTCATCTCCCCGAGGTCGACATAACGAAGTGCTGCTTCGGGGAAGTCAAAAATGTTTTTTCTGTGGCTAGACCTGCCCCCCTCCACGGTAATGTGGAATTTTCGGTTTCTGCTGTAAACAGGAAATGAACACCATCGCAACACCCACCTACTGGGCTGTGAGTTGCCCAAGAGGGTTGGTAGTACAGCAAGCCGGTTGTTGTAGGTTATTCCCTGATGTGCCATGGGCAGCAGAGGGCAAGGCAACAAAAACCCATCGCTGTACCTTAAATGTGCTCCAGCGTCATGCAGTACGGTCAAATAGTCCACACAGTGTTGGAAGACCCTCATCCAGCAGTGGATTGACATGTATACATCCCCTCATGTCATTGAATGCTGATACATTCCTTGGGAGTTTTGGTTTTCTCCTGCAATCAAGAGCACGTTCAAGTAAAGAATCGGTTCAACTTTCTCAGGTAGCATATTTCTATATATAAGAAAAAATTGTCTTGAGGTCCAGTTGAGGCTTCCCTGTGTAAATAACCGGTTGTTGTTGTTTGCGTTTTAGGTCATCCTGGTGTCCGCTAACAAACTGACGCGCTACATAGAGCCATGTCAGCTGACGGAGGAGTTTGGAGGAACGCTGAAGCACAATCACGTGGACTGGGTTTCTAAGCGCATGGTGCGTCACGCCTCAAATGCACTCCCCTTCCAATCCAGCACTCTGTCCATTGCTTATCTGTGAAAATAATGTAACGATGCATGCATCTAAAAGAGCCCTCTATATAAAAGCCGCACACAAGCAATCCTCAAATTACGACCACCCGCGCTTACGAACACAAGCACTTGCGAATCAGCTTCCATCCCTATGTATTAGTTTTTTTTTTAACATTGACTTAAAACGCAAACTCTTGCTGCCACATTGAACCGCGCAACTATTTTGTTCGGCTGAGCAATGCTTAGCGAGATATAAACGAGTCTGCCTCGTGCTGGGAGTGAGTGCTTGTGTGTGCGTGGGCATTTAAATGCGGTACATTGCTGTGTTCCGACTTACGAACGGTTCGACTTACGAACAGGTCTCGTGAACAAATTGTGTTCGTAAGTAGGAGACTGCAAATACTGGGTGTTTTCCACGTGAAATGTGAATCGTGTGTGACGTTTACATTCGCTGCGTAATGATAACGCGTAGCAATATCGACGCACGTATCGAGTTGGCGCGACGACACGACGCGTGCAGGGTGAAGTCGCGGTCACGTGATCCTCGGGACCCATGGGGGGGGGGGGGAGGTGTATGTCATTTGGTGGTAACGTGTGCCGCTTGACCACTGTGTGTAGTGTTTGAAAACACATTTTGCTCTTATTTGGAGACCTAAAACTTGTTTCATTGTCACCTACTTTGAGTATATCTCCACCTATGACCAAAGCAAGAGATTGTGCCTGATCTCATCAGATCATAGAAGCTAAGCAGGCTTTAAACTTGGATACTGCTCTGATAGGAAACAATGACTTGGCATTAAGGCTGTGGGGCTATATGTGATACAGCAAAGGGCAGTGGAGCAATATTCGGACTGTATTTATATGATCCCATGTCTATGCTCCCAGCCTTCAACAATTCATGCACTGACTGGCGTTGTGAATTATAGGCAAGTAAAACTAAACTGAACAATTTTTTTTATTTTAGCAGGTAAGACCCAGAGGCCACCTGGCCACAAATGATAGCCCAACGAAGTGGCCTTTCTCGTGGAAATGTATCGCAGCTAAATACTCGTAACGTGTGATGTTGATTCTAAATGTGAAGGGAAAAATCCATGCGACCACGGGGAGAACATGCAAACTCCAGATATACAGGCATCGGGGCTGGGATCGAACCCACGACCTCTTGTATACCAGGCGAGGTAGTTAACATCTCGCCACCATGGTGAGCTTTCTCTTATTCACCAGTGGTCGAGACTCATAACCGAGTGGCAGCCTAAGGAGGAAAAATGCCTGACAGTACGTGGTAAGATATCCCATAGTGATAAATGCACTTCTGCAATGCTGGTGATCCAGGTTGAAATCCTGACCACGATGCTCAACAGGAATGGGAATTGGCCTGGGCCCTCCCCTGTGTCAATTTTTGTAAAACACGAGTACACCACATCTCGTCACCATGACCCACACGGCACCGGGAGGTCCTCGTCAAGCAGTGGGTTGACAACGGGGCTGCACACGTGCTCGAGATGATCTCTCAACATTTTCTCCCGTGCGTTGTCTCGTTGCACGCCCCCCCCTGTAGGCGTTTGAGAAGTTCGAGAGAGACTCCTTGACGCTGCTCAGCGAGATGGCGCGAGTGATGAACGGAACGAAAACGTCAAACCAGCAGAGTGGAAATCTGTAAGCATCAGCGAGTGGTGGCGCTTCACGGGCTTGTTTTGTACCGATGGCTGATTAGCGGTCTGAAAATTAAAATTTCTCCCCATTGATGGTGCTCATCTCCGTTGTTGATCCTGAGCCAGTCAGTTGTGAGAAGTACGTACATATTTACGTACGTGTAACTTTTTTAGCACCGTACGGTAGCCAACTGCTGATCGGAGGTGCGGGGGAAGGACAACAAACTAAACACAATAAGCAGTTCTAAAGAAATGAGTTTTCAATCGAGATTTAAAAGTGCATAGCTCAAGTGGCTCCTAATATCGGCAGGAAGAGCATTCCAGACGGCCGCAGAAGCACATCTGAAAGCTAACCCAGCCAGGTGGCACCCTGATTCGATTTCTCAACTCCCAAATGGAATTGCAGTGAGCGCAGACCATCATCCCTGCAAGGTTTATGAAATGAGTAATCTTTTTTGAGCAGAGAATGGCCCTTGCCACGATAAAAGGTGCAATGCTTCTCTATCAGAAAGCAACCTTCGATCAAATCACCCGGAATGCGCCAGGTCTCACCAGGTCTCCGAATCAAAGCAGGGGTAGAGCCTGCATAGTGCTTGGATGGGTGACCACCTTGCACAAAGGGTTGTCATAGTCAGCGGGGCGACGTGGTGAAGTACTGTAAAATAACTTCCACGACCCGCACGAAGTGGGTGGCCCTCATCCAGCAGTGGATTGACAAAACGCCCTACTCATATTTGCGTGCAGTAGAAACCGGCCGTTACTTAACAAAATGGCTGTTTCCGGTTTCTAATTTTTGGTGCAACCTCTCCAGTGGTACTCACTTTAATTACAATGGAGGGACACGTACAATGATGATGATGATTCAACCGCAAGCACAGTGGACTCCCATCGAAGCGGTTCTATCTCCTTATTAGCAGCGCACTGCAGGCATTTGATGCCGTGCAGTAATTGCGGTTCTTGTTTACGTTATGACATTCTGTTGCTGCCTTGTACAAAGTGTTTGTTGATTGAAACGTTTTGGTTCATTTTGTGTCCTTTGCAGACCCTCGGACGAGCACATGCTGTCTGGCGACCCCGAAGCCTATGCTGAAAATGGTACCGTCCTCTGATTTTCTACGTCTGGTTAAAATTGTAATCATTGTCGTCATCTTCCCTGTCTAATATCTATCCACTGCTGTATCAAGGCCTACCCAAAGCCGTCACCATCCCACGTGGTCACGCCGATCGCATGGTGCCCTCGTCACAGTAGATGTCCTCTCGCGGGTGTGTTCACCCTGCTGGCCGCGCTGTTGTTGATCTCAAGCCCAGGCCATCACCCACATGCTTCTATGTTAATTCGATAATTTTGCTGCTATACATTTCACATGATAAGCCACTTTGTTGAGCTATCATTTGTGGCCAGAGTGCTTCTGAAAAAGAAGCTAATAGCTCAGTGGGCTTCACCTGGTAAGGTACAAATAGTTTTGTTTTATTTGTGTATATGAACCTTATGGCGGTACCCCAGGGTACCATAGTACCGCGGCTCTCGCATAATGTCCAAGACTCTCCCCTTTTCCCAATCCCAGTTCCGTATTAAAATGGTCAAAACAATGTCCCCTAACTTGCGTTTTATTCCACGCGTTCCTCTTTCCGTCTCTCCGGTGTGATTCCAAACGTGCACCTCTCTTGACGTTTCCTTGCATACTGCTCAGCTTTTTGTTTCCATCATCTTTGTAAATGTGCGTATTTCTGAATTGTTCTTGATATCTGGCAAAGCCTTCTGAAGTCTCAAACCTCTGAAGCATTCTGCACTGGAATGCTTGGCATATCCCCAAATAACTATTACATTGAACTACCCATTGAAAATGTACACGTACAAAAGCAATAATGCATTGTAAATTAAGAATGAGTCAATATTTATTTTTTATATGTTTAACATAACATGCTATTATAAATGGATATGTAAAAACAATCAATTTGCAGCAACGGAAGCCACAGTATTTCATTTGGATTCTTGAAATGTTGCGGGCACAACTTAAGTGCACCATTAAATCGCATTAAAACTTTCCCCTCCCAAGCGCAGGGCCGTGTGTGGATGATGATGATGATGATAATTGACACTTCCCAGCACGGCAACCCATATAGACTTGGCATCTCTTACTGTGGCCTTGAAAGATTTGGCATCGTTGGTTTATGCTGAAGGAAGCCTGTAAATGTGTTTTTTTTTAAATCGCCACTTTTTGTCTCGTGGGCCGTGGCGGAAGTCGACTGCCATTTGTCTATATCTTTGCCTTTTTAAAATGTGCCTTCTGATGACAGCTGAACAATTCAAAACACATGGTTTCAAAATATATATACGAGCAAAAACCGGCATTATTATTATAGTGTGAAAATAGTTCAAAACGTGTGTTTCATTTTATTCTAAATGCACAGCAGAAAAATGTACTGTAATTTTTTTTCCAAATAACCAAATTCATTCCTCCCATAAGCTTCCTGTTATTCCGTAAGCACTCCAGTGCTGCACATATCAATCTTGCATTCATTCAACACATATGGACATTTTAAAGGCGTTATGGGATTTACGTGTGTTTTGATGTCTCTACAACAGTTTGGGGACCTGAAAGTTCCAGGCCATGCTGTGTGGACAACCTCAGAAAGATGACATGGACCTTCCTGATTTCTAAATCGGATCTCTTTAAGCCGACATAATACCGATGTAGAATTCCAAAGGGGAACAACTTTGGACGGCCCCAGCGCATCCGTGCGTCGGTTGGAGGGCTTGAGGTTGGGCTCGGGGTACTTGAAATTCTCGGACTGTTGCTCTCGTGAACGCATTTGATAAATTCCTGCACCGACACGTGACAATGTGCTTTAAAAACCGCTATCGGTGGATAGCACCATTTCCAGATGGCAGTGATCTAACTCCAAAAAAAGAGCCTCAAAATGTGGGCCACTTTTTAGTTGTTATCTGGAAGCGTGATTACTGGCTAACTTGATGTCTGATACAGTACATGATCCTTAAGGAGTAAACCCACAAGCGGTCGTATCTCGGTCCTGCTGTTGTCTAAAATAATGTGGTGACAGCTTTAAGTCTCTCTGAGTTGGTGTCTAAAGCGAGAGGCTGTGTGCATTACGCACGCATTGTGGCCATGTCACATGACACGCAGGGCATGATGGGAGAACCGATAAACGGTCGCAATCGCACCTTTTTGCTCTTCATAAACCACCTTTTCCGTATATTATTGCTCATGATCCATATTTGTTGTTGTTTTTTTCCAACCTGCACGCACGTTTCTGCGCGAGTTTCTCATTGTGTGCAGAGAGTGTCAGAATCGGTTCACGCTACTGCTGTTTCAAACACATTTTTGCTTCTTGGAATTAGCTCTGCTGCTGTGTCTGCAACCTGCCCTCTAGTCAGCTGCTTATGGCCAATTCGCTCCGCAATGCACCCGATTCTGTCGCATCTCGGAAGCTATGCAGGATTGAGCGTGGGTGGGAGTAGTGCTTGGATGGGCGACCATCCTGCGTGATGGCACGCAGGGTGCTCTGGGCTTCCTTGGGGCTACGGTGTCATCAGAGGGCAGTGCAGCAGAAGTTATTGTATTGTGCTCTGCACCAATGTCTATGCATACCACTTTCACCAACCCATTGACTGGTGTCGTCAAGGCCTTCACCCAGCTGTAGATTGACTGAATGTACGTACAAACATTGTCAGCTACAACTGTGTGCTCGGCACCTCTGCTTTGGTATAGCTCCTGTGCAGCGGGGAAACGCACTTCCGGATGCAAGAAGAAGCGTTAAACGTTTTCCGAATACGACTGTTTAAACTGGGTCTCTCTACCCTGGCTGGAGGAAAAGGAGTGGCTGCCTCTCCTTTCCTCTGCTGCCCCGACCGCATGGACCTCCCTCCCCCTTTCCCCGTCCATGCCATCCAACCGACTCGCTTTCCCGTGTTCTAAACTCGACGCCACACGTTTTCCCCCTTTGCCTACAGTTAGATGTGGCGTCGCCCTGTCTACGGCATTGACTCTTGCACTTGTAAACTCTGACGTTTGTAAACGGCGTGTGGAATCTTACGTGCATGCTTTGTGTTTTATATAGGTTGGCTCTCGATTATTGGTCGGTGGAATATCTAGTTTTGCAGATTATAATGGTGCTTACATGCGTACGTTGGTTTAATTACAAGCTGCTCCTCGCTCGTTGCGGGTCACTGCCTCATTGTCCACTTGACGGCACGAATGTCAGCAAGTAAAACATTCTGCATGTTAACCCCGATTCTTTTTCAGGCATGCAACAAATGTATTTGGAAAGCTACGTTCACGTCTGTTTTTTTATTTATCTGAGTCACCCTTCCCTCCCATTACGTCAGATAATTTAAGGGTTGACTGAACTCCTCCTTCGTAATGTGGAACTCTCTGCATCATATGTCCTTGTAGTCTTCCTGCAACATGCATAACTCTGCGCATCATTTGCCTTGTATTGTATGCGTGCTATCATAGTATCACTTGTTTCCCCCTCCTTCAACCATAACTGTGCCGATCATTGAATTGCGTTTGTAGTTTTGCACTTTGTTTATATAAATTATGTTTCATTAATAAATTCACGTGAAGACAAGCAGTTCTTTTGAAGGTGTAATAGGTAATAGTTACATTTCTTGAATTGAGCAAACTTGTAAGAACTTGACAAAATAGGTCATGCAGCTGTTGTTGCTGACCAACTCCCCGTCAACACGAAAGAAGAAGTGAGCCTTTCCTGTGTTAAGAATTTCACATTGTCTGAAGCTGACTACCTGTGTGTGTGTGCGAGCGTGTGTATGTTAGGGAAGCGGTAGTGTAGCAGTTCGCGCGCTACAATATGAACCCGGCTACTTGCGTTTGATTTCTGCTCACAGCCAAACACCATTGATTATCTGAACCAGACCTGGGCCTCTGCTTGATTGAATCCGCCTCAAAGGAGTACCTGGTGCGATGTGTAAACATCGCTACTGGGGAGACAAAGGCGACTGGTCGTGGTGCTCGCCACCCACCCCTTCGTGCGTCGTGCCGGCCATCATAGGTGCTACTCACGAACAGCACTTGCCCCAGCAGTCTGTTGAAGGCTACACGGGGGAATCTTTGTCTTGTGTAGGACGCCAGCTGCTCCTGGACCTGCAGCAGAGTCAAGGGCCGCGGGCCGAGGATGACCTGGTCCGGTTTCCCGTGGAGGGCGAGGTGACGGTCCAGGCCAGGGTTTTGGAGCTGCTCGATGCTGTGCACTCTCAGCACGAGAAGTGCCGTGAGATGTGCCGGCAGCAGAGTCAGCTGATTCGTCTGGACGACCTACGGCAGAAGATCACCGAGGTGGGGGATGTCTTTTAAAACTGCGCGCTATGCCGTTTAAAAATCTCAACACAGTGCCACACGATCTCACAACAAAATAATTGCTGACACCTGATCGCAGATGCCAGGTCCCAATCTCGTTATCAACCGCCAGAGTGACATTCAGCATGATAATGTTATCTTAGAGGGGGGAGGGGAGTTTAATTCGTGATCTTATGAACGAGAGCCCTCCAGCCTTTGCAACTGAGCTCCATCCCAGCCTCATTAATCCACATTATTTCCGTTAATTAAAAGTCCGTGACCGCTCGCTATACCACTGTTATCTAATTACGTTTAATACATGTAAAATAATATAACGTATGACCTTTCTTCGAGTAATTTAATGCAGAGATAAGTTTGTTTTGGTGTAAAAAAAATCCCATTTTATTATTGTAACCGGCAGAAAATTAACTATATTTCGTCATTTTTATATTTTAATCAAACCGGCTGTGGCTGCGTTGGCTCTACACTTTAAATGGATTTCCCCAGAAGCTATGCATCCCGCCTCTTGTTTTGATTACCGACCAGCTTGATGTCTTTGCAAGTGGGTTTTTTTATTCCCTTTGAGGTCGTCTAAATTCTGCAGTGTGCGACATGTGTTTACCCTTAGATCACAGTGTCCGCCTCTTTGTAATCAATCGGTGAAAAATCCCGCTTGATGATGCAAGTCCTCGCCAGCGCTTCGTTTATCTTCGTTTAAAACTCACGCGTGGCACAATTAGCTTTCTGTCCACTTTCCATAACAAACGCTGTGGATGAATATGGCACATGTTCTGCTTGAAATCACTTTACTTTGTAAAGATTCTTTACAGAGTGTGGCAGGCAGCACAAGCCTGAAGTTGTTGGGCTGTAAGCGTGCAAACAACTTCGTTTCATACGGCCACAGCCACTTTGAGGCCTACTACCAGTTGAGCTGCACTGATCGACAACTAGAGGGGACTATTTTCAGTCTGGCAACAACACAGTGTTTCTAAATTTAGCAGTCTTAAGTCACCTTCAAAGGGGAGTCCTAATTGTTGTCATTTTATTGGATAACGCGACGGTGTGTGCGCTAATGTACGTGCCCCTCAAAAGGTATTGTTTTATATTCCTATCCGGCCCTCGGCAAGGGAGAGACTTTCCAGGCCTGCTTCATGGCAACATCATTCAACCTAAGTGCATTTGAAAAATTATGAAGCTAGGCAACATTGTGCACCCCGGCACTTTTGCAGGTTCGTTCGAGGAACGTGTACGGCACGGCACGGAATTAAGTTTTCACAAAAGTCCGTGTAAACATAGGTTCGTTCAGTCAGCGCCGGTCATAGCATTTCATTTGATATACCGAGCATGAGCTGTAGAGACATCAGCCGATTTAGCTGCTGCCTGCCTGAGTCTGGCGCTGCACCACGCACCACTTACTCGTATGTGTGCCTGCTCGCGGTGAATTCTTAGCCAAAAAACTTCACAGCAATATAGTGCCACGAATAACTTGTAGGCTAATAGCTGATCGCTGAACGCAAGAGAAAATATAACATGGTTGCACGCTGCCGTTTATTTATGAAACGTGGAACGTTTCCATTTTTTTGCACGGCCCGTTGTAATATTTTTTTTTTTTCTCGCGAAGGAAGGAAATGAAGTGATGCGGCCTGGCTGGCAGAGAACGCTCTACATCCTTGTATAAATACATCAGACCGCTCAACCAAAGCGAGCGTAATTACTTGCACATTGGCAAAAAAAATTAGCGATGTTCTCTGTAATGCTTTTGAAAAATGTCAGATGTCTCAATATTTTGCTGGTGTGAAAATATTAAATCCCATGCGTTTGCTCATGCCATCACATTATTATGATGATTATTTTTTTCATACTTTTACAGTTAAATATTCTGTTGAGAGTTAAGAGTTGAGTTGTTGCTTTAAGTATATTTTATTTAGGAGCACGTCGCTGGTTGACTGGTCAGAGCACTGAGCAGGCACCGCTGTGATCCTGGATTTGAATCTGGGTTTCAGCCACTCATGATTATCAAGTGTAGAGCGCTGATGATCTCTGCCTGGTCGCCAATGACTGCACACAAGAAAACAAGGCAGTAATGCCGTAGTTTTACTTAATTTGACAAACATTCCAGCTCGGACAATTGAACATTTTGGCTTGACCACCAGGTGACAAACCATTTGTGTGGATAAAATGTGGCTAAAGAGATGATTTGAAAGAGTTATCAAAAGTTGTTCTGTGTTATCTGCTTCTGCGAGCCGATCTTCGTATGTGGGTTGATGACCTGGTCTGGGAGTTTTGAATGGGTTTTTTTTTGTCTCGTGACAGAATGCTGATAGCACAGTTGGAATATAGTCTTGGAAAATCATCTAAGAGATGCATTGTTTCGTACTGTTTTCCAATACGCATTTATCCTTCGCAGTATATGTCCATTACAGAAACCGACGGGTGAAATGCATTTTCACATGAGTCCATTTTGCTCTACTTTGTGTCTCCAAGTTACGGGCAACCCTTTGGTCAATTTCGTCATTGCATCACTATAACAAGACTTGTAGTGCTGCCCCCATGTCAGATAGACAGATGGTCATTGGAATGGATGGATTAACTCTGGAAATGCATAAACGCTTTCAATGTTAGTTGGAAAGAGTTAAAAAGGAAATGTAAAAAAAAGGTAACGAGAGTAAATGGGTTTAGTTTGACTATGTTGTGTTGTGTGAGCCGAGTCTAAGAAAAAAAACTTTTTATTTACCAGGTAAGGCCCACTGGGCTATATAGCTATTTTTCAGAAGCGACTTGGCCACCAATGATAGCTCAATGAAGTGGCTTAACACGTGGAAATTTATCGCCGAAAAATACTCTAAGCGCATGCTTCTAAATGTGGTGGGAAACAACGGAGGATCCGGAGAAAAATCCACGTGACCACAGTGAGAACGTGTAAACTCCAAATATACAACAGGTGTCAGGGTTCGGATCGAACCCACGACCTGTATACCAGGCGAGGCGGTTAACATCTCGCCGCCGTGGTGTCGTTGCAGGTTGTGAACTGGTTTGAAGGCCCAGGGGCTGATATGCTGAAGGAGCAGCGAGGCATCGGAGACTCGGCGCGCGCAACACAAGCTCTGCAGCAGAAGCATGAAGACATCGAGAACTTGTACACGGTAACTGCCCCTCCACTGGAGGACATACATATGAAGGCTAGTCTAGCGCGATCGGTTTTAGTGACCACTGGGCCAAGCTAGTGCAGAGGTTTGATGGGTTTCTGGTTTGATTCCTGTTCATACCTTGAGACGTTGATTCTGAACCTCTCCTGGGGCTCCCTTCGTATAATGAAATGGGATTTGTATCGCGTTTGAATGTGACTTGCATCTAAGATGCTGTCCAGAAACGGTGAGCATTCTGGTCCATTCAGCCTTCAGTGATTACCGAGAAAAGTGTGTTAACATCAGCAATGGGAAGACAAAGGTGGCCAGGCGTAGTGCTAACCAATTCAATGAATTGCCGAAGTATGGGGGGGGTTAATTGATCCAATAAACTTTTTTTTAGCTGGAAAAAAAATAATGCTCAAATTCTCACGTTAAATGCATCTGCATGCAACACGAATGGATACATCGATTTAAATTAAAGATGCAATGCATCATGTACCTAGGGGCTGTTCAGACCATTGTTTATCAAAAATGCTCTTTCACAAACTGTTTCCATTGGCTGGACAAAAATCCGTCACTCTTATTATGCCACGCTTCATCAGTTCACCCCGAGCCAGGTCAGAGAAAATGAAGGGGATATAAACACGAGAGATAATAGAGAGCCGTGAACGAGAGATAAAGATTTGGGAGATGACAGTCGGTTATCGTGTGGAGATGTATAGCAGACATACACACAGAGAGAGAGACATGCGAACTCCAAATATACAGGTGTCGGGGTCGAATCCACGACCTGCATATCAGGCGAGGTCGTTAACATCTCACCACCGTGGCACCCCAATGCGGTGCCTCATTACTTTTCCGTCTCCGAGATTTAAATCGCTCCCCCCCCCCCCCCCCCCCGAGCTATGACCAGGCCGATCCGAACCCCCCCCCCCCCTTTAACGACTCCCTCCTGTTCTCCTGCCACTAAAACTTCTTCATCTCAAACCAATATCATCTTGCCTACAATTTTTCAATTGCTGTAAAGCACCTTTTATTTTTTATTTTATTTTTTACCTACGTGACTTTACCGAAAAAACCCAAGAGTATGAATCCTTGCAGTCACGAAAGCTTCAAATCTAGAAGTAAAGCACCTCGGAAAAGGCGCTGTATAAATCTCGATGAGATAAGAAAGTTTGCACTGAACGGCCGTTACTGATTGCGCGCGTCATTCGCCCACCACCCCCTCCCGCTTTCGTGCGCGTCGCGCGCCCACCCGCAGGAGTGGTTCGCCGTCTACGTGGACCTGGGCCAGCAGATCTCGGCGCTGCTGTCGGCGGCCGAGACGGCGGAGGGGGAGGAGGACGAGGGGGGGGTCGGCGGCTCCGAGGGCAGCTCGGAGGAGCTGCAGGCGCTGCAACAGCGGCTCAACGACGTGTGCTACCGGCACGCCATGCAGCTCGAGTACCGGCAGAGCCTGCTGCAGGCCGCGGCGGACTTCCACAGGCTCTCGCATGACGTGAGCCCCTTCCCGCGCTCGCTCGCTCGCTCGCTCGTGAATTGCTTGCTCGCTCGTCAATTCGCTCGCCATTTGGCTCGTTTGTCAGTTCGCTCGCTCGCTCACTCGCACGCCAATTTTCTCGCTCGCCAAATCGCTCATTCACACATGTAACACATTGACAGTTGTAATCTTAAAGAATGTGTACGTTGAGCCAAATCTCAAAACGCTGTGAAAAATCGAATCCATACGCACATCAGGGGGACCGCAGAAGACGGAGACCGTTTATTGGGGTTTTTGTTTTGTTGTTTACAAGGTTCAGTTGCGGGGTGGGGGATGGGGGTCAGACGACAGGGCAGGCAAGTGCGAAGATTAAACACGTTTCGTAGAAAAGAGACGGGTAATTCACAAGCAGTGGAAACGCGCATCACAAACACCTCAATTGTGTTTTAGTGGCACATCACCTGGGAAAGGTGTTGGGTGGGGGGGGTGGCAGAATGCATTTTCACCCGCCCCTCTGCGGAGCTGAGAGGTGACGTGGAGGTGGAACGTTGTTTGGGCTGAGCGTGAATTGTATTGCTGCTGCTGGTGCTGCTGTCCCCCACTGACTCAACTTGCCCTTGGCAGTTGTCGCACAATCTGGACGGGCTGCTGGGTGTTCTGTGCACGGACGTTCTGCTCGTTGACGGTACCACGGCGCAGCAGAGCCTGCGCGTGCTGGAGGAGAAGCTGCAGACCGTGGGTATGAATGCGTCGACGCACACGCTCCTATGCACGACTGGACATCGCTATGTATGTATTTGGAACTTCTTTCGCATCCATATGTAGCCGACCGCGCGAATCAGAGGTGTTTGGGTTAGGATAATAAACTAATGACAAAAAGCAGTTCTAAAGAAATTCGTTTTCAATCGAGATGATTTAAAAGTGCATTTCTCCAGTGGCTTCCTAATATTGGAAGGAAGAGCGTTCCAGACGGCCGCAGAAGTGCGTCTGAAAGGGCCCAATGCGGTGTCCGTGTTTGTTCGATGGTTAGCCAAAAGCCGCTGCGAGGATGAATGGAGTTTTCGTGATGGTTTATGCTGCTTGACAAGACCAGCCCGTTATTTTGGTTAATTTGTCGCAGGCTTTTAACAGTTGAGCCTTCTGGCGGTACCCCGGGGTACCAAATAATACAAATAACCGAGGCAATTAAATATTTTATTTCTGGTACACAATTTTTTCCAGGGGTGTACTTAACTCCGCGACTGGGGTACCAATCAATCCGAAATCGGCGCTACTCCGCAATGTCGAAACGCATCGGACGATTGCGCCGAAACCCTGAACGCTTTTACGCACCGTAGCGGTGCATCGTGCACAGCTCGTCGAGATGAGTCGATTGCCGCATCGCCGACCATCAACAGACTAAAAATTACGGCATCACGGACATTATGCGAGAGCCGGGGTACTATGGTACCCGGGGGTACTGCCATAAGGTTCAGTTGCCAAAAGTTATGCTGCCCACAGCACTCGCTTCTGTCCTATACACGCCTTAATAGCTGCTCGCTAACAGCACTTGCCCCTGTTGTGGGGAGTAGCGGCGCAGCGATGAGCGTGCTGTGCTACGAACCCAAGCGACCCAAGCTGACAATTATCTGAACCAGTGATGACGATCTGAACCAGTCTCCCTCAAATGAGTACCTGGTGCAATGCGTAAACATCGCCACTAGGGAGACAAAGGCGACCGGGCATGGTGCCCGCCACCCACGCCCCCGTGTGCCGTGCAGGCCTTCGTAGGTGCTCGCTAACAGCACTTGCCCCAACAGTCTTGAAATAGGCTATGTGGGGGTTCTTTGTCTTTGTGGGTGCACATGCAGAGGCCGTGTCACAGGGGCTGCAGGAGAAGAGCCAGGCCCTGTTGGAGCTGCTGGGCAGCCCCCCGCCGCAGGCCACGTGGCGCGGGGAGCCTGGCTCCGGTGACGGCGGCGAGGCCGACACCGGCACCCACGTGCACGCACTCATGGACGACATGCTTCTGCGCAAGAAGAGGCATTGCACGCACTCGCACGCACTCGCACGCACGCACGCACTCGCACGCACTCGCACGCACGCGCACGCACTCGCACGCACTCGCACGCACTCGCACGCACTCGCACGCACTCACACGCAGTACCCACGCAGGCATGCAGATACACACACGCGGGGCTGATAGAGTACACTCGCATGCACGTAGCGCGTGCACATGGCATGCACTTATAACATGCGGTACACGTAAAACGCGCACATGCAACGCACCCGCCTAGACAGATATAAAGATCCACTGCATAGCATTTCACAGACTGTTGGGGTAAGTGCTGTTAGCGAGCAATACCGATGAAGGCCGACATGGGACACGACGGGGTGGTTGGCCAGTACCACGCCCGACCGACTTTGTCTCCCCAGTGGTGATGTTTACACACCGCTCCAGGTACTCACTTGAGGCTGAGTCGACCTAAAGGAGGCCCAAGACCGGTTCAGATAATCGTGACTGGCGTTGGCCACGAGCGGACCCACCTGCGTGCACATTTAACGCACACCACGCATGCACGACTCGCCCGAATCTACGCACGCAATCCCAGGTAGCCAAGATTATAGCGCGGTTCTCCAACTGCATCTCGTGGGCACACACGTGCCGACGCATTAGTCGAATACGTTCGCACATGCTGTCTTTGTACATACAACAACAACAACCGCCATTCGCCACTAAGTGGCGGTGACGTCACCACGACGCTTGTGCCAGGCCAAGTGCACCTTGAGGCCACGTGAAGTGTCGAACGCCCGCTGACAGGAGGTCACGGGGCAGACCCAGGTGCCACGGGTCGACTGACTGAGATGTCCGAGATGACTGGCTGATGCACCACCTGTGCCCCCTACTGTACCAACTTGCTGTGCACAAAGACACATGCATTGTGTAAACTGTCGGGCCCCTTTCTGTCAGCGAGCACCTTCTAAGGCCATTGTACCGAGGCACGAGGTGAGAAGTTGGAACCAATACTCTATGACTTGGGGTCCGATAGACACGGAAAGGTGTTTGATATCTGAAGGCGGCTGCACCGCTCATGCAACAGAGAGACTCGATAATATCTAAGCCAGCTCACAGGCGATTTGATCTACGTGTCAATTCAAGCCCCCCCGCCCGCCTGCTCTGCTGTGTTACCCGCGTCCTGGCAGGTGTGAGGACATGGTGGACGTGAGGAAGCTGAAGCTCCTGCAGATCATCCAGGTGCTCAAGTGCGAGGACGACGCCTCCCAGGTGAGGATGAATTATTGGACCACTCGATCTGTTCACGTGCTGCCTGAGATCTCGTGCTCGTCATCATTAACTCTAAAAGCCATGATTCTCCTTTAATTCCCCTCCCTACTGAGCCTTCAGGCCATCACTCAGGTCTAAAGCCCTCTTGTCAACCCTCAGGGCCATTATATTATCTTGAACCCCTCATTGTGTAGCCTTAAGACAAATTACTCGCTCTCTGCTGGGCAGCCATTCTTGAGGGTTTATGGTTTTCGCCTTGAGAAGGCTGACTGGGTTGATGGTCTCAGGCCAGTCATCAATGGCTGTGTAAAAACAAAATCATTATTTTTTTTCCTTAAGTTGCCTAAATTCCTTCTAACAATATAAAAAAATATCGGTTGGACTGTCATGTGATAAGCAGTCTCCTCGCAGAGTTTGTAGGAAAGTGCAGCGTTTGTAGGAAAGCGTGCTCCTTCTAGGTAAAGGATAAAAAGGTCACGTTAATCATTGATTGGGAGAGGTCGTGTCTGTCCTTGGAGGGCATACACAAGGCATGCCCCTGGTGCGTGTGGATAAAGAGGTCTGTAAAAGAAACGTTCAAATTCTCTCCTGGTCTTTAAAAGATAGTTGAAATTCTTTCCTTGACACACCGTGTTCCACAACAGTTTTCCCGCGCGCACGCTCACACACACACAGAGTGATGCACTCCTTCCAACGCAATGCCCAGACATCGCAGCGATACACTCGGCTGCTCCTGGTGCGGTTGTCTGGCTTGACCACCTGGATGGGAGATTGTAGTTGGGGAGATGTTGTCTGCCTCGTCTGGTATACAGGAGGTATTGGGTTCGATCCAAACCCTGCCACCTGTATATTTGGAGTTTTCGCCTTCTTCCTGTGGTCGTGTGGATTTTTCTCCGGATTTGGCTGCAATAAATTTCCACGTAAGCCACTTGGTTGAGCTATCATTTTTGGTGAGAGGTCGCTTCTGAAAAAGCGCTACATAGTTCAGTGGTCTTTACCTGGTAAAATAAAAATGTTTCGTTTTTTAGTTTACATCTGTACGACAAGAAGAAGACTCCTTCTGAGTCCCGAGGTGGGGGCGATTAATTGTCTTGTGACGCAACTCGGATAGCACAGTTTTTTTTAAATTGTATTTCATTAGGAGCCTGCTACAGAGCACAAACCGCGACGCGGGGGGGGGGGGGTGTACAGAAAATCGATGGAACTCAGTCCCGAACAATGCATCTGGATTTAAAGCTCAAATCGCGCACTCCTTTACCTCTCTCTTCCCCTTCTCCCCCCCTCCCTTGGCCCTCAGTACATCACCCCCCAACGTGTTGTCCCCACTGGGTTGGGGCAGCGAGTACAACTCCCCCCCCCCCCCACCCCTCCTCGCGTCGTGCCGAATTAAAATTTTCGCGGAGTTTCTGTTCCCCTTCCGATGTCGGCCGGCGTATTGTACCCGGCTCGCGTTTTGTCCGGGTGGGTGAGGGGGGTGAAATAATAATTAAAAATACTCTGATAGCAAAGTTGATTGGTCGACTGCGCGCAGGCGGTGGACTGGCTCGGGGAGCTGCAGGACGCGATGCTCAAGACGCACACGCAGCTCGGGGATGACTCGCGCGAGGTCGAGGCGCTGCTGGAGAAACACAAGAAGTGCCACGACGTAGCCCAGGTGCGAGACCCCGCGCCGTCCGTCCGTCCGTCAGTCCGCTCGCTCGCTCGCCGATAATAACAATAAGAATGCTTTCGTTGTTTTCTATAGCGTCATTCATGCCAACAGCATCACGCAACGTCGCGCGGTAATTATATACAAGGACCAAATCCCATATGCACGGTTGGCCACGCACGGCGCGAAAGAAGTTCTACATACATACGTGCTTACCTCTTTATCGTTTGCGTGTGCGCGATTGGCCTGCGTGCGCGTGTGCAGAGCACGTACGAGTACGGGCGGGAGCTGCTGCAGGCGTCGGTGCTGATGCGCAAGTCTCTCCGCTACGCGGGGAAAGCGAGCGGCGAGGTGCTGCCGCGGCTCACGCGCGCCTGGAAGCAGTTCTCTGCCACGTCCGATGAGCGGGGATGCCGGCTCGCCATGGCGCAGGCTTTCCACGCCGCCGCGGAGAAGGTTCCGTCCCACGCCCCCCTCCCACCCCTCCCCCCACCCTGGACATGCTGGGCGTCGGTGAAAAAGAGCTTAGTAGCTCATCGGATGACTGACAAATAAAGATTCGAATTAATTAAAGATTCTGACTCCCCTCCATGCACGGTTCCCTCTCATCTCACTCTACTCCCCTCCACTACCGTGGCGCCCTTCGCAGCCTAGGGGTGTGGACGTGACGCCAACGATGACCAGCGAGAGATTCTCCGGTGATTGTCGGTTAAGACTACAGATGCGCAGTGGGATGTCTGGACACCCGCGGAACCCGTAGTAGTAGCTGTGCCCCTGCATCGCACCCCCGGGTAACGCAGAATCGAACGCAGCGCTGGGTTTCCTTCTGTCCAGAACCACTGCGTAGAAAACGTAGGTGAAATGCAGATGCTTTTGTAAATAACGATCAAGTCTGGGTTTCTAATGAGATGGTGAAGTATCTGGTGCTCTTACCCACGACTTCTATTGGTTGAGTAAAAACCCGTGTGTGTCTTATTTGTTTGTCTTTCTGTTGGTCTATGCCGGTTCTCTCTTGTTAAGTTAGTTTTTAAATTCTTTATATTAAGTTCACTTGCTTGCGCGCTTACGACCGTGCAAATCTTTCGGTCGTTTTTTAACCCACTTCCCGTGATCCAATCGAGCAGACATTTTGCACACAGACTCGTTGTGCGTGACAATTTATTTTGGTGAAAATTTTTTTCCAAAATTTTCCACTTTTTAGGAAAAAAAAAATTTCATATTTAATTTAAAATACCAATGTGATAAAAAATGAAACTCTTACTCCAGAAAAACAGAAATGAATAATAAAATAAAACCGATGCCACGCATATAAAGGATTTATAGTGAAAAACTTTGTTTTTATGGGTTAATTTTTTTTGCTTGTTCATCAATACATTTTTCAGTCTGTCAGTCTTTCTGTCTGTGCCTGTCTGCTTGCCCAACTCCTCTTTGATTGCCTACCTCTGCCTTTCCTGGCTGTCTGCCTGCCTGTTCATTTATCTGTTTGTCCACCCTCTCGGTCATTCGGTCTGTCTGAACTGTGTCCGCCTGCACCGTTCATCTCTCCGTTATCTTTCCGCACGCAGGTGCTGAGGGAGGACACGTCCGCCACGGGGAACGCGAGTCACGACCGCGAGCGGGAAGCGGAGGAGCTGGGGCGCTCGCTGCTGGACCGGCTAACGATGCCCGTGAGCCTGCCCGACGGGTACGATCCAACGCGCGCACGCGACGGCAACAACAGCGATTTCGATTTAAAGCTTTCGTGACTGCAGGGATTCATCTTCTTGGTTCTTTCGGTAAAGTCACGTAAAAGGAAAATAAAGAAATAAAAATAAAACAATTAAAAAAAATAATTCTCACGACGTTTCGGCCACAACGCAAGCAGCCGTCTTCAGGTGGAGAACAGGTCTGACTCTGCCTTCTCGACAGACCTGTTCTCCACCTGAAGACGGCTGCTTGCGTTGTGGCCGAAACATCGTGAGAATGATTTTTAATTGTTTTATTTTTATTATTTGATTATTTTCCTTCTACGTGACTTTACCGAAAGAACCAAGAAAACAACAGCAATGACAACAATGTGGGTTGACGTGGCGCCTAAATGTGACATCTCAAGGCAGTGGACAGCAGCCGTGTGTTTTTTATATGGGGAAGCGGTCAATCAGACACGGGGGTGAAAAACAGGAAGGGTTCCTGAGTCTGGACTTGAACAGGGAGCAGCAGGGAGTTGACAGCACAGATGGATGTGGAAAAGGGGAGTTCCAGACTAGGAGGGCAGCGGAAGAGAAGATTAATTTTAATTTGTTTCAGGGAATGGACAGACCCCATTCCCGTTCATCTATTTACCCCGTATTAATTCAAAGACGCGTTTTAAGATTCGTATCATTAAATGGGGGAAATGCCTAGAACGTTAAACCAACCAAACAAAGGCAACTTTTTTTTAGGAATCCCAGAGACGGTGGGAGAAACGCCCCAAGCTGTTGCTGGCACGGCTGCCTTGCTCTCGCAAATTGCTTAGTAATTATCCGGCAATGACTTCCTGTTTGCGAAAATGAGAAACCTTCATGGGGTGTTAACGGTCATATTGTGCGCGTTTTGGCGAGTCCGTCGCGTTGTCGGGTCAAAGCGATTTTTTTTTCCCTTCGAGATTGCGAGCACGCGAGTAGAGTGCGGTTTGCCCTCCTCTCGTGCTTCGTGGACGCCAAATTGACGCGCGGGGGCGGCTCTCGCTCGCATTAACAAGTCGCCTGACGCCTTAAAATAATTTGACGTCGACGTGAATAAAAATCATTGCCCGGTGTTAATTAAACTCCTAAAGCTGAGCCAAAACCATTTTATCAACCAACTAAAAGCCCACTGAGATTTTAGCTGCCACGCAATGATAGCTTATCGAAATGGCTCTTCATCATCACGAGTGGAAATTTCATAGTAGCAGCCAAATCATCTTAAGCGCTTGTTTCTAAATGTGGAGGGCAAAACCGGAGTACCCGTGGAAAAATCCACGTGACCACCACTAAGAAGAGAGAACGCATCAACTCCCAATTATACAACAGGCATCGTCAGAGTCCGGGATCGAACCCAAGATCCCTTGCTTACCGGGCGAAGGAGATAGCATCTTGCCACCGCAGCGCCCCAATTTATTTCCGCATACAGTTCAGTCGCCCTCCTGGGCTTGCAATGGCCAGCAGATGGCAGTACAGCAAATAGGTTCAAGAACCCGCGTGTGGCGTAACCCTTGGTCTCATCCCTTATGCAAAACACACCTTCACCAGGAATTGACCAAACATCCCAATGTAGGGCCCGCCTGACTTGTACCCGTTGTTATGCAAATCGTTTGTGTGATTCCCCGCAGGGACGCGAGGGCACTAAAATGTAATCGCCATGTTTAAAATTTAAAGAACGAGTTGTCAATTGAATTTACAACCCGCTGATCACGTGACAACTCATCAGGTGCGCCAAGGTGGTTCCGAATTGCCACGGGCGTAATTATTAGTTAGGCATCAGTCTGTTGGAGTGGCGGCGCAGCGGTTAGGGGACTGCACTTTCAATCCCGTGACCTGAGTTTACTGCTGGTGACGGTTGACACCGATTGGCGAGTGATATCGTAGCCGGGCCGTGGTCCTCGCTTCACCAACCAACGCTGACCAGCGTTGTGAAGCACCGTATGGTCAAATCATCGTTGTCGTCGTTGTTATCATGGTCATGGTCCTTCTAATGATCTCATCGTGGTCATCGTCATGATTGTTTTCTTCTTAGTTGTTATAGTTTTCGTCATCGCCCTGGTGTGCAGCAAAGAGACACACAATACATTGACTTAAAGCTTTCGTGACTGCAGGAATTCATGCTCCTTGGGTCTTACGGTAAAGTCACGTGACTTTAACCGAAAGGCCAAAATGAGCGCTGGTGTCTTGCTCATCTCTTGTTTAGAGCCCTGAGCTAATGGTCAAAGTTCCACATTCCACCACAATGTGATGCCTACTTTAGCGACCCTGAATGGACGATGGGCTGAGTCAACCCCGAACCAGGATTATTATTATTAATATAGTGTGTTATTATTAATAATAAGCGACTCTCTTTTACCTGTTTCTCCATTTTATGCTCCTGTCGCCTTTTTTTTTGTATCGTTTGTTGTAACTCCTTAACTCGCCCCGTACTGGACATCTGTAGAAAAGAGCCTCATAGCTCCACGGGTTCCTCCTCCATTCCAAGCAGAGTTTCTGATTCTGGAATTTTGTACGCGGTGTAACTATATTTCTCAAAGTTCCGCTTGACAAAGGGCTGACGAATCGTTTTTGTTACAACGCGTACCTGTCACACGGACTTTTGCCATTGAGCGTCGTCACACTAGTACCAAGCGGCGGCCTTCTCGCAGCTTTAGCGTTACTCGGTCCACCGCCGTCACCGCCGCTGCTGCTGATCTTTGACCCTCGCTGCTCGCTCGTCTTGCACTTCTCAGCTCGGAGCAGTTCTTCGGGAGCCCCGGCGACATGGCCGCGGCGACGGAAGGGATCCGCGAGAAGCTGCGGCTGCTGGAGCAGAGGCTGAGCGCTCCGTGCGGAACGCCCAACGGCGACTTCTAGCCACTGGCCCCAAGCGGCCTCCTCCGTTTCGCGCGAGCGGCCCCGGATTGGCCTCCGGGCGACTTGCGTGCGGTCGCTCGCTCGCTGACGGCCGCCGTCCCTCCCCGCGCGGGCGGGCAACTGTGCGCGCTCACGGTGGCCCGGAGCGTCGGCTTGCATCTTAACGCCCGGAGTAAAGACGTCTCGCCCGTTGTGGTGTGGTGACAAGGTCCTTGTTGGGTGGGGGGGGGTCAGTCTTTTCACGAACGCCTGGTTACACTGCACAGACTTCCGCGCGGGGTCTTTTGGCGGCCGGCCTTGATGGTCTTCCGATAACTTGGAACGAGATTTTGTCATTTGCTCGCCGTATCTTACGGCGAGGTCTCCTGCGCCGCCCTACACCGTGGTATAACGGCCCGGCGTCCTGTACACTACACCGTCGAGGTTTATAAGCTGCCGATGGCTTGTATATCATGCTACGGTAGCCTGTGCGGTGTGTTGTTACACCCCACACCATGGTGTGTATAACGTGATATTCTGTACACCTTAGTGCCCTTGATTTACACTGCACCTCGCTGCGGCACACACACACACACGCACTCGGTATCCCGTACGTCTCGTACACCGTTTTGCACGCTGCGCGTACCGCACCGAGTCCCGTATGCCTCCCCGTGCACACTGTGAGAGTTGACGGCTGTGTAAACTGCACTGCTAAGCACGCCTGCGCACTAACAGGCTGCACAACCAAGCCTACAAACGCGTTCCTCTCTTCGCCGGGTTTATCCGGCGTACCGCCACCACCGCCGCCGCCGCCGCGGGTGAATTTCATGACGAATGAAACGGCAGCGCGTGTGTGTGCGCCAGTCGCGTTTGCGTCTCGCGTTTACGAAAAGCAATGTGGTCCGGTATCGTGCAAGTGGCTTCCTATGGTTCGGCCGCTGATGCAGGGATTTAAGTGACGAGCGAAGGGCATGCGGTCAGAGAGCGGTGTCGATTTTACTGAAGGACCTGCGGGAGTAGGGAGCGGAGAGTGAAGGGTGTAGCAATGGGTCCCTGAACGTAGGATATTGGTGCGAGAAGAGTACAAGAGGGAATCTGCGTTCAGGATTGGTGGGGCCTACAGCACATGTGTTGTCGCTGGGCTTTAAAGCGGCGAGATTAGCGAACTCCCGTCCCTTTTTTGCAATAAGTGAAATATTTGAGCAATGACAAATTGGATTTTCGATGGAAGTAAGTTGATTGGTAATTGCAAGCCTCTTCGGTTTTTTAAAATGTATATTCTTGCAAGGTAAAGTACGGTTTATCATCTTAAAACAACGGGGCACATTCATTTTGTTGGATTTTTCCAAGTGTTGCAGTGAAGGTGCACGCCGACTGCATATTATTAATGACGATCGGGATGGGTATTTCTTTTTTTTACCTACTTGGGTAGATGGTGGCAATATTTTCTACTCAGCCACATTTCCCATCGTGGTCACACAGCAGTCTTGATTAACTTGATAGTAATACATAAGTGCACGCTAAACTTCTTAATCAATAGAAGCTTCTTTCAGTGATGTTAGGCTCCGGGTAATTTTCTCTTATTTATTAAAATATTTCTTTTTTTTTTTAAGCAGGCTGGCCATTTTTTTAACTTTTTTTTAACTATTCGCTTGATGCTATAAATGGTGCTGAAGTAATAGCAATTTAAATATTTTACTTATCTGTAATAATTATTCGATCATTAATACTTTTAGTTGACGAGTTATAGGTTAGCGTATTCACGTTATTTAAACATTGAGCTGGCCTCGCCCTTGGATTGTAGTGTTAACCAAGTACAGTACAGCTCTCATTTTTCCACGTTAACACGTTTGATTATTTCCTATAGCGTACTTTTTCTTGATTCACAGATGGTCACTATTACTTTTAGAAGTTTTCCCAATGCGTTTCGGCTTTGATCGGCCGATGTACAATGTATGAAGTAATAGCATTTCCTGAATCTGCGTAAATATCACCGCAACGCTCATTTTCAATTGGTTCCTATATTGATATGTTTTGCCAATCCCAGCGCAAAACGATTCTCGTTTTGTGTGGGAGGCAATTGGAGTGCCTGCCATAATAGGTTCTGTCGGCTTTGAATAAGAATAAGGTGCCACGGTGGCGAGATGTTAACTACCTCGCCCGGTATGCAAGAGGTCGTGGGTTCGATCATGTTCCGACGCCTGCTGTATATTTGGAGTTTGCATACTCTCCCTGTGGTCGCGTGGATTTTTCTCCGGGTCCTACGGTTTTTCCCTCCACATTTAGAATGAACATGCGTTTTTAGAATATTTGGCTGCTATAAATTTTCACTTGATGTTAATCCACTTTCTTTGGGCTATCATTTGTGTGATAGCCAGGTTGCTTCTGAAAAAGGGCTTTAGCTGGTAGTGGAAATATTTTTTTTAATAAAAGGAGTAATGCCTGGAGAAAACCCACACATTCGAGGACGATATCACTCAAAACGCCACACAAATAGGTCAGAAACTCAGTCACTTTATTGGCCCCGTTGGCGGGCATCTTCTCTTTTTGTTATTTCTCCACATATATCTGAGCCAGCCACCAACTCCCCCACCCCCCAAGTCTCTGCACTGCAGAGGGGGGAGGGGGGGAAGGGGGTACATTCACAGGTGCCGCTCCTGGCAGTGAGTTTATTAAGATGATGATAGTTTCCTTCTGAGTAGTGCAACGGTTTGACAACGAGCAAGCGGCGTTGATTTTTTTTGTGTACGAGCAAAGTGCAGCGCAGCGGTTCCAAGTTTTTGTTGATGTTGGCTGTAATTGAGACGCATTGTGTCTCAGCGTAATGAGACATCCGGTGTTGCGGAATCCCATCGATTTCAGATTGCCGTGCCAGTGTGCTCCATATCTTTTAAATAATGGCGAATGCTCCATGTTTTCAATGGACCACAGTTTGGAGTATTTTGGTCACGAAGTAGTTGACCTATGAAATTCAGGGTAAGGCTTTAAACTAAAGTGATTTTACAAGGGCATTTACGTGGCAAGTTTAAAAAGAATATATATATAATTTGGATGTTTTTTTGTAAAGCTGTAAATGATGAAATTAAAAATGTCTCGAGGGGAATTGAATAGAAGCTGCACGTTAATTCCATGCCCAGACTCATGTAATGAGATGTAATGGTGTATTCTGTTATTATTTCTCAATTAAGTGTTCGAATAATGTTGAGTCTGCACAATATTTGACAACTGTGTTCGAACGTTTTTCTCTCCCACAAACTTTCAGATGTTGATCTTGTTTTTATATCCAGTATTTAAACACCTTTTTGTACCCTACCTATAATTTTGTATTGTCGGCTTGAAAACCAAACATGGTAGATGTTATGGATGTTTCATGATTGTTATTTTTAATCGGATTATTGGCCATTGCTCTCCGTGAGGCAAAGCGTCGCACCGCGTACGAACGCGTGCGTTATGGAGCATTGTGGGTAAAAATCATATCTCCAACTCCGTTCTGTTTCTTCGCTTATGAATATACACATTTTCTGTTAGCCCATCAATATATTGGTTTTCCAGACCAATATCTCACGACATTTGTTTAAACAACCAAATTCTGGAGCGGTCTTAACCTTCGTTGGTTGCATCAGCAGAGACACGGTTGTTAAAAAACATTGTGTTTATATGTATATTAAAATGCACCTGTTGTTTAGAGCCAGGCTATTTCAGAGAACTTTATTATCATCTTGCAAGTTCAAAAGCCATGAACTGAAGGAAACCAGTTTATGTTTATCAGCAAACATTCTGAACATTGCTAATGTTTTTCTAATGTGGAATGTTAATTATTTTTTTTATATTCTTGTTTTGGAAGTTCCGGTCGCATTTCATCCACCTGCATTGTTTAAAACAAATGTTAAACGTGGTCGTTCATTGTAGCATGTCACTGAAGTTGAGAGATACACTACAAACGAACATGTATTCATGATAAACTGAAGTATTCTTTTTTTGTAGTTTCTTATCCGCTTTTGTTAATTTAAAGGCACGCGGTCTCGGTAACCTCTACGTCACAAACTGTAAAAAATGTAGAAAGTAAATACAGTATAATTTTGTAGACTTTTATCGTAGGGCGATGTCTGTGTAGGAGGTTAGGCGATGGCGAGCCGAGGGTAAACCGAAGCGTTGAGGCTCTATATTCTCATATTCCTGAACTCTTGCAGTTTAACGGGTTATAAAATGTGCATGTTTCACTTACGTAAGCAGGTTCAACAATAAAGACACATTGTCTTGATACCGGTGACCGGTTGCTGCTGTTGCTGTTTCACTGGCGTTAGTGAAGTTGAGCTCCACATAAATACAGGTGGAGGTGCAACCAGGGCCCTCCACGGGGGGTGGCGGCGTGCAGGGCCCCAGGGCAAATCCCACCATGTGGACCCCCACCCTGCCCTGACGCGGGAGCCCCCCAATGCGCGGGGCCCGGGGCGGTCGCCCCGATTCGCCGTACCCCTAAGGACGACGGCTCTGGGCGCAGCCCTGCAATTTCTCGCGTCGCTGCTGGCAGAAGGGGCGCCTCATCGAGAGAGCAAGAGAGAGAGAGAGCCGCCCCTCTGGAGCGTATTGGGTCTACTCCCACGCTGGCCAGCCGCCTTGGAAGAGGTTGGAGTAGCCACGCCGAGACTCCACCGCACGCTTTCGGATGGCTGCTGATGTCGATGCAACGGCTACAATTTCACATTGAGGTGGTCAAGCCAGGTAACCGCGGTCGGGGTCAGTCTGAGTCGTGTGTCGCCGTGTTGGTGGATCGGTGGCATTGCGTCGTTATGTGTTGTTCGGTCTGTTCTGGATGACCACAGTCGTACACTGGAGACCTGCTGCTGCTGCTGGTCGACTAACTGAAGTGTGCCCATACTGCCGGGTTGACGGAGGCGGGAGGAAATTGAGAAACTTGCTCAGTTGTATTTTTTTCGATTTAAAGCTTTCGTGACTGCAGGGATTCATCTTGGTTCTTTCGGTAAAGTCACGTAGAATGGAAATAATGAAAATAAGAAAAATTATTTTGTCAAATAAAAATTATTTTGTCAAATAAAAACTATTTTGTCAAGGTGCTCTTCGCCCCTCCACACCAGCTTAAATAGTCGCTCCAAGCCTGGGGTGTGTCATTCAGACTCTGTCTTCTCGACAGACCTGCTCTCCACCTGAGGACGGCTGCTTGCGTTGTGGCCGAAACGTCGTGAGAATTATTTTATCATGTTTTATTTTTATTATTTTATTATTGCTCTGTTGTGTGTATTTAAACTGCTGCCGGTGGGAGATCGATTCGAACCGGCGACCTTTTGCATTGCAGGTCCAGTGCGCCGACCACGACACCAGATAAACCGCGTGACGTTTGGAGAAAATGACCCTTCGTCACGCGAACGAGAGACTGCCTGGCAGTACTGTGGCAGGTGTCGTCTGCTTGGGATGAGCGGTGGCCAGGACACCGCAGTGCACCAATGGATTCTTAAATCTATCGGTACAGAGCTTTGTTAGCTATTCCCCTCTTGCCACATCCGTTTTCAGTTTCCTCCCACGTGAAACCAAACGGTGTGTGTGTGTATGTTGAACTTATTTCGCACCTCACGGAGCCAAACCGTGCTGATCGCAGGTGCGGGGGAAGGACAAACACAAACAACATGAATGGAATTGGCCAAACGTCCCGACAATTTAGCAGAGACTTTCCTGGGCAAGCAAAGGGGCTTTGTGTTTTTTTAACGTAACACAGCGCAGTGTGTCCCGTCATTCTCCACCGTTGCGAATGGGAAATGATAATCTCAAATACATTGTTTCGTTTTGGGCCAACAAATTCCGTGTAAGCGGATTGTGTGAAGTGCAATTTTCGAGTGCTACGGAGATCATTTCGTATTTTTATGCTTCCGCCGTACATCAAGACTGTATGTAACGAGTGTTAGCCTCCTGTGTTACATCTTCAAATTTTCTTGCCCAGAGTAGGAGTGAATAATGCTGCTTGCTTTCACGGACAAAGGACCATGGTGGATTATGTTCTTCGCAGGATCGTGATGGAAAGGCGGGCGGAACGGCTTTTCCGGGAGCTGATCCATTAAACCCGTGTGATTACCCCGAGGTTATTGGAGGCTCGGGTATGCCGCGAGTGAGAAATTATAATAAATATTGACAGTCGCGCATTGCTATAACTTCACGGCATCCGCTCGCCACCGTCGATGGCAATTTTTTTTTTAGTTTTACCAGGCCAGGCCCACTGAGCTATACAGCTCTTTAAATTCAACAGCGATCTGGCGATCACGTGATAGCTCCAACGAGAAGTGCCTTATCACGGGGATATTTGTTGAGCAGCCAAATACTCCAAACGCATGTTGATTCTAAATGTGGAGGGGGGCAGCAAACCGCAGGATCTACTGGTCGAAAATGCAAACTCCAGATATCCAACAGGCGTCAAGAAGTCGGAATCGAACCCACGACATCCTGCCGACCAGGGGAGAGAGTTAACATCTCGCCACCGCAAACCCCCGTTCGAAAGGAAGGCGCGTGCGAGCGACGGTTGCCACCTCTAATGTCCGGGCAAGCACAAAGCCGGGACACATTCTGAGAGGCGTGGAGATGGACGCGCTCGGAATCCCATTGAGAGACAGAACGAGGAACAGCAGCTGGTTTAGAGAACGTACGCAGGGTAAGGACATTGTTCAAACTATTAAGTGGGTTTGGGTAGAGGGCATGCCATCGGAAGGCGTGATGCCCGAAGAAGAAAAAAAAACACCGTTATTATAATGGAGTGGCAGCAAAAAGGGTGGACTATGTCAGACAGCATGGCCATCGGATTGACGGAGCGATTACATCGGCTGGTGTGCACGTGTGTTCGGGTGGAGCATGGCATTGCAGGATGGCGACGACTTGGGGAGGAACTCCTCCAGCAGTGGATTGACCGATGGTTGATTTACGACGACGACGATGATGATCATGGGAAGAATCCTATCTCCGATGAACGCATCCGATTAGCACAGCGGTCGGGAACCTATGGCTCGCGAGCCATATATGGCTCTTTCGGTGACGGCATATGGCTCCCAGACAATTGTGAGTTGAAAAAAATAAAATAAAAAATCAGTTTGGAACTGATTTTAAAATACTTGTGATATTGCTTAATAATACTGTGTCATTTTTAAGTAAACAGAAATTAGTTTTGAAGATAAATTTCACGGGTCACGGGGCCTCAACGCCTGCATGAAGCTCAACCTCACCACGTATGAACCAGACTACAAGGCCATCAGCAAAACCACGCGGCACCAGAAGTCGCATTAAAAGTAAGACATTTAATTTATTATACGTTAAAAATACTATATGGCTCTCAATGCAATATATTTAGAAATATTTGGCTTTTATGGCTCTCCCAGTCAAAAAGGTTCCCGACCCCTGGCTTAGCGCGATTGGCTTCGTGCGGTGCGAAAGAAGTTTAACATACCCACATGCACATCTGATACCAGAACAGAGAACCGCATGTAACTGCGTCGTCTTGCTTGAGGTTATTATCACGAAACCGGCACACACAAAAAAAACACCGGGAGTTTTAATGTCGTGGGAGGACTTCCAGATTTCCGAGGAACAGCAAACCTCAAAACAAAGAGGACGAACCTGGGAACCTGGGACCCTGGGACAGGCAGCAATCCCTCTGCCGTGAGCCGAGGACGGTCACAAGCCGCGCATTTGACGATGTTTTGTGGCAGTCTCCCACAAGGGGGCATCGCGGAAATCCTGTGGACGTAACGCCAACGATCTCCCACCATCATGTCGAGTGTCTGCGTGTGTGTGTTTGTTGAACCTCTTTCGCACCGTACGTAGCCGACCGTGCTCGTCGAAGGTGAGCGATTCCAGTGACCATGATAGAATCAACAGGTAGGTGAAGGCAGCACAGCAAAGCGCGAACCCATTCTCTGTCCCCTTTTGTCCAGGGATAGAGTGTTGCACCAATGGCACGCGTGAGTTTTCTCCCACACCGAAAACAAACTACTCATTGTCTGAAAAAAAAAACTAAATTTGATGTGTGTGTATGTTGAACTTCTTTCGCGCCGTACGTAACGAACCGTGCTAATCGAAGGAGGTGTGGGGGAAGGACAACAAAATATACACAATAAGCGAGTTGTAAAGAAATTAGTTTTCATTCTAGCTGATTTAAAAGTGCATGGCTCCCAGTGGCTTCCGAGTATCGCAAGGAGGAAGAGGGCGTTCCAGACGGCCCCAGAAGCGCGTCTGAAAGCGCCGCGCGATGCGGTGCTGCTGTGAGGATGAGCGGGAGTTGGCGTGATGATGATTGATGCTCCTAGACGAGATCGGCAAGGTATTGCGGTTTCATTTGTGACAAGCGCAGGTAAAAACAAGTATTATTTTTTTTTAACTTTTTTTTTTAAACACGCTTTTATGAAATGTACTCGTAATGGAAGAACTCCACGACTCCAGGAAGTGGCCCCGAAGCTTGCCATAACGTAAGGGACCGTGGCCAATTAGACCCAACCCGAAATATAACATATAAAAAAGAATGTTTATTTTTTTATGATAGAATATAGTATTGTCATCAGTATGACGTAAGTATACCAAGTTTGCAGTCGATAGCACATTGGGAAGTGGGTTAAATTGAGTTACAAGATTTGAGGATACGACAAGAACAACAGACAGAGTGAGTTAAATGAAAGCGTGTAAGAAAATAAACGTGCAGCCCTGCGATATTTACTGTCTCGCACCGCTGCTGACGGAAGGAAATACCATCATGAGCTTCGTCAGTTTACAGCGTTGAGACTGAGCGAAATTACGCGGCACACGCTCAATCTGATCTCATCTCAGAAGTCTAAGCAGGTTTGAGGCTGGATCGTGCGTGCTTGGATGAGCTACTGCCATACATGAATAACAAATCATATATCATTTCGATTTAAAGCTTTCGTGACTGCAGGGATTCATCTTCTTGGTTCTTTCGGTAAAGTCTTTCCGACAGACCTGTTCTTCACCTGAGGACGGCTGCTTGCGTTGTGGCCGAAACGTCGTGAGAATTATTTTATTATGTTTTATTTTTATTATTTTATTATTTCCATTCTGCGTGACTTTACCGAAAGAACCAAGAAAATTATATATCAGTTGCGGGTGTTTACCGGCTAGGCAACAGAGGGTAGTGAAGTCAAATCGATTGTGCTACTGCACTGTGACCCCCACGTCTGTGCCGTCTGCTTTCACCAACACGAACCGACCAAAGTGGAGAAGTATGGCCAAATAGACCCCGTGACCTGCACAATGTGGGGAAG